ATCTTACCCACTCTAGCCCCTAAGAAGCCACCAGTAGAAATGGGTGCAGCTTTGGGCTTGTAGAAAATGTTAATGCTTTAAGAATAGGGAACATTTTCACAGCCAGAAGCTATGTGTTGTGTGACTACCTCAGTAGGCAGAACAGATAGGGCGTGTCTAGGAAAATGCAGCGCTGGGCAGAAGATTCTAGTTTAGGGTGCTATCTATTGATGGGATTACCATCTTACGCATCCTCCAGGGCCCTAGGGATAGTTTTAGCTGGGGCAGAAGAAAAAGGAAACCAGATGGACAGGAAAGTAGCCTAGAGAAGACAGAGCTGTTTAGGTCATAAGAAGGTTGTTTGGAGACAACCCTGTTAAGATTAGTTACCAAAGCATTTCAGTCAAGACATGAGGGTCTGACCCACCTTGTCTAGAGGACTTTAAGATGACAGCCCCATAGGTTTTATGACTACGGATATCTTTTCGTCTAGCTGGAGGTTTGTGCTGACAGCAACTGGAATGTCAGACTCTCTGGGGCTGCAATCTTGTAGGTTGCCGCTGTTTCCTAGCAATCCCGGGCCTGTGCCAAGTCACTGCACAGGCACAAAACTGCTGGTGGGTTCCCCCTAGAGAGGAAGTAGTTCATTGGAGCCTCATTGTAGAAACCAGCACAGGCAGGTAAAATGTTTTTATAATTGCCACTAGGAAAAAGAGCCGGCCCAGGGGGAATCTTCTACCCAAGGGGCCCCCCCTCTAGTTATAACCTAATTCATTGTGCGTATGTGGATCATGTGGGTGGAATTTATCCTTCTGAGGTGTTAGGTTAGATTGTTTTCAAATGTGTGGAGACTCCAAGAAATGGAAGTTGCTGCATTTTCCCACCATGTTCTGTGGTTCAAATGTAAAGTTTTGAGACAGACCTGTCACCATAAAGTAGGGTGTGTTTCCTTTTTTCCCTATGAAGGTTGCACACAAAGGCTCTGCAATTCTAGAATTCATGTTCTTGTTTTGTTAAAGACAGTTCTAAGGTGGTGGGACAGGGAACTGGAAGCCAGTTGTCACGGAATTTTCTACAGCCATTCCGATCTCCCTGTTAGGATCCTTCAGGGAATTTGTATCCCTATTTGCATGTGGTAGAGTGCAAATAAACCACAGGAAAACCTCAGCAAGCGAGTGCTAAAAAGTGGCAAGGCAAAAGAGTTTTCTGGCAAGAAGTTATTATATGGAAGGTGGGAAAAAAATGAATGCACCATGATTAACTAAAATGAATGTTGAAATATAAGGAACAGGTATAAACACCATCTGAAATGGTTTCCTGAACAAGTTAGACCAAACACCACTTTTCATGATTTATAGAGGTTTAATTGTCTTAAACGAACATAATTCTGTGGTCAGAAAGCTAAAAGAAGCCCCTTCCATACACCCGTGGCATATTTATACCTGTGGCACGGTGTGCAGCACAATTTGCAGAACTTCAGGAAAACCTGCCCAGGCAGCTTCCCATAAGGCTAGGGGTATAGCTAGAGCTGTAAAGGGCCTACTCAGCAGGCATTCAGCCCTGAGTTCTCCCTCACTAAACAACAACAACCAAACAACCTCCTGGGTTGAGGCTAGATAACATAATGAGATGATTGAGGGAACTGGGCTTCCTGGTACTTTTCCCGAAGAGCTGGTAAAATGACAACGTCTGGAGGGTAGAGAATAGAATGCTATGGCTGAACAGCACCTCAAAATTCATACACTGGAACTCAGTTTCTGCTTCCTCAGAATGCAAATAGACCTAGGGCCTTAAAAGAGACAAGTATTTTGAAACGCAGCCATTAGTGTGGGCCCGGATCCAATCAGACTGGTTATCTTATAAGACGTTTGACTGGGTGTGGTGGCACAAGCCTCTAATCTCAGCATTTGGAAGGAGGCTACTTCTGTAGAGTACTGTCTGAGCCAAACAATGAGTTGAAGGCTGGCCTGCTGGTTTCCTATGGAGACCTGTCTCTCAAAGAAACAATAGCAGAAGGGATTTGGACAGAGCTAGAGACAACTGCTTACAGAGAGACGGTATGTGAGTACAGGGTAAACCAAGGAGACAGGCCAGAAGAAACCAAACCTGTCCACACCTTCATCTTCGGCTTTAGTTTCCAGAACTTGATGAAAACTAATGACTAGCATTTTGTGTGGCCACTGCTGTGGACTAATGCAGACAGAACAGACATGATCCAATAATAACTTGCAATTAAAAGGTTGTACCTCTAAGATTCAGGTTACTTAAAGTCTATAAACTATCAACCTCAGAATCTCCTATTAATGACTTTTGTTTCTTTGGTTGGTTGGTTAAATTTTTGAGACACGGTCTCTTTCTGCATAGCCTTAGCTGTCTTGAAACTCAGTACATAGAGGCTTGCCTCAGACTCACAGAGACCCACCTGTCTCTGCCTCAGAGTACTAAGATTAAAGGTGTGCTCCACCATGCCCAGCATTCCGTTAATACTCTGGAAAATGCGGGTCTCCAAGATCTAGTGTTATACTATTCTTTCATGGATCTGGGTTCTTACTGTGGTAAAATGTCACAAGTGATGCTTCTGAATCCCAAATCTTGAGCTCCACTGCTTGGCTAGCAACTGTTAACTCTCTTAAGTTGGTGCATCTCGTGTTCAGGCAGATATTCTACCATCTAGGAAGCAGATGTAAATCTCGCTGTCTGATATCAGTGTCAGTGGGTACCATGGCGTGTGGGGAAGTTTAACGGGGTGAGAACAAATGGAATCCTTGAAGAAAGTGATGTTTGATTCTGGAAATATGTCTCTTGCCTATCTTCCTTAAGAATATAATGACACAACTTGAATGGTCATCTTATTACACTTCTCTCCTTAGGTTTATTTAAAGGTCCAGTATCTTGGTGCCTAAACTGACAAAGGAAGAACAGGAAATGAATGGGTGTATCTGACTGCTATTGACACTCATCAGTTGAGCCTCTGTGGACAGTTCCCTGACACAGCCAATTGCCTTTAATTCTTTCTCATTGTGCTTTGTCATACGCTGGGCCGGGCCTTGAAAATACACGTGAGCTACAACCCTAGCATGGCCTGTACGGTAAGATATATTTGTGAATAGGTAAATAATAATAATAGCTGTAAAGGCCAAGCATACATGCAAAGGATAAACAGGCTCTGTGTAGGATGGGAATAAAAATATTTCTGTATGGCATAAGGCAGCTTTTCTGTCATTTTTGGATCAAAGTGGGAGGGAAAACAGAGGGAAGGTTTATAAAAGCATGAACATTTTTTGGTTTGATTTTTTTTTTTTTTTGACAAGGTCTGGTAGCCTTGGCTGGCCCAGGACTCCTGGTACTCCTGCCTTAGCCTCTCTGGTGCTGGGATGATTGATGTGTACCACCACACTGGGTTTTGACATTTTCACAGTAGAGACAGACAATAAGTGATACTCATTCAGCTATGACAGTTCCCTAGGGACATCCTATCCTAGCTGGACATTGTGGTTCAAACCTATAATCTTAACAATGGGGAGAATGAGGCAGGAAGATTTCTATGTGTTGGAGGCCAGCCTGAACTGTTATAAATTTCGGATCAGCCTGGACTACACAGAAAGTAAGGCCTGGTTTTAAAAGGAGAAAACAAACCTCTGCTCGATTTACTTTACTTACTCATAGACAGGGTCTCACTCTGTAACTCGTGTATAGGAACTCATTCTGTATCCCAGGCTAGCCTGCAGCTCACACTAACCTTCCTGCCTCAGCTTCTTAAGAGCTGAGATTACAGGCATGAGCTGCCACGCCCAACAAGAGATACTGGGTCTGTAAGGACTCTTGGTTTTGGAGGTTTTGTTATGTTTTAGGTATGCTGTCTGTATTTCTTATGGCGTTCAGCCTTTGAATCCAAATTCAGCTAATATCCTAGTAGTGACCAGGGCTGGCTAGGAGTCCTATGGCCATTGTAATCAGTATCAAGCATGTGGCTAATCGTGTTTTCTTCCTTTATTAACTCAACTATTTCTGTACAGAACACTGGATTCTCACTGGATCCGCCCCCACCTCCCCACCTCGTGTGTGTCTGTGTGTGTGTGTGTGTGTGTGTGTGTGTGTGTGTGTGTAGCGGGAGTGAAAATGTTGTCATTCAGGTTCCAGGTGCTTTCCAGAAACAAGAATTCTGGCACTTAAGACAATTGATTTAAAACGCTAGACCGTAATGCCTTGGGGAGGTTCAGAAGAAAAGCCCTGAGCGCAAGCGGGTTTCTTTAGGAATGAAAAGGAGAAAGCGTGCCAGCCTGGGCAACCAAGGAGCCTCAACAATGCAGCGCGGCGGCCCTTTTGGCTGAAAGGGGTCCAGGAGGGTCCAAAAGGTCCCCGCGCGCTGGGAGGGCCGGCCTTCTTTCCAGACCTTTCCGAGCAGCGTTCTGTCCCGACTCTGGGCTCGGCCAGGTCCGGGGCCTAGGCAGCGGCCCGGGGCGCCCTCAGTCGCGCACTAGGGGGTCCGTGGGGCGGGCCGCGCCGCGCCTTCGTTAGAGGGCGCTCCGGGGCGCCGCCGCTTCCTCCCGCCAACCCTCCCCGCCGGCCGGCCGGGGCGCACGCAGCCGCCGGGCCCTGGGGAGCGAGTCTCCACGCAGCCCGGGACCTGGAGCCGGGAGGGCCGCGCCGCCGCCTCCTTCCGCCGGCCATGCATTCTTCCGGCTCCCACAGCCCGGGCCCGGCTCCGGCCTGCCCGAGGTAACCTGGGGCGCGGCGGGCCCGGCCCGGGAGGCGCTGGGGGCGGGGAAGGGTGCCGTTGGTCGCGTGGCCTGTGGAGGAGGCGGCGGCGGCCCGAGGGCCGAGGGCGCGGTAGGCCCGGGGAGGAGGCGGAGGCGGGGGCGCGGGGCATCGCCCGCCTCCCCGGGACCCGCCCCGGTGACAGGTCCGGCCTCTGAGTCCCCACCGCGCCTCTGTCCACAGGCAGCCGCGAGGGGACTAGGGCGCCCGCGCGCCCCGCTCGCGCCGCGCCTCGGGCCGCCTGGGCCGCCGCAGCCGCGTCCATGACCGCGACCCCCGGGCCAGGGACTCCCGCCGCCGCCGCCGGCCCTCGGCCCTGTCGCCGCTCGCCGCTCGCGCCCACCGAGGTGAGCCCTCCGAGGAGACTGTGGTGAGGGGAGCCGGCTGAAGAGACCTGCCCGGGGATACCTGGCCGAGGGGAGCCCTCTGCGGAGAGCCCGCTGAGGGGGAGCCGGCTGAGGAGACACGGCCGGGGACAGCCGGCTGGGGGGACCCGGCGGAGGAGAGGCCGCCCCGCTCCTCACCTGAGGAAACCGCTGCCCGAGCCTCCTCAGCCGGGCGTCGCGGGCTCCGCATCCCTCGCCCCTCGGCTTCACCTTCTGGTCCTGCTCCCCTCCCCCTCCCCGCCGGCTTCCTCTCACCTTCCTCCTCCTTCCTGGGCCCCTCTCCTTTCCTTCCCCCTTAGAGGCGAGGGAAAGCAAGCACCCCGCTGTTGCGGACGAGCCCTGGGGGGGAGCCCGGTAGAGGCATGGCCGGGCGTTCGGGATCGGCGTGGCGGGACCTCCGGCCGGCGGGTCCGGGTCCGGGGCAGCGTGCGGAGACCGAGGGTCTGGCGGAAGCGAGGCGGCCGCGGTGGGTCGCGGTGCGGGGCTGCCCCCGGCTAGCGGGACAGTCTAGCGTGGGCTAAATATATTCCGCCGTGGCCCGTGCCCCGCGGAACGGCTCCCTTGACCTTGTGCGGCTCCTCCCTCCTCTCTGTCCCCCTCTGGAATTTGCCCTCGAGATCGCCGGGCGAGCTCTGCACCGGGAGAGCTCAGACCCTCGCGTTTCCTTGTATTTTTGTGCTGGAGATTTTTTCTGTGCTGCTGACTGCACCCATTTTCATTTTGAAATGATTTTTTCCTTTCATCCCCAGAAAGACAGGACCGACGCCAATGTGAGAATGGCTGTGACTGTAGAAGAAGCTCCGTGGCTGGGCTGGATTGTAGCGAAAGCCCTGATGAGATTCGCCTTCATGGTCGCCAACAACCTGGTTGCTATTCCATCCTACATCTGCTATGTAATTATACTGCAGCCACTCCGAGTGCTGGACAGTAAGCGCTTCTGGTATATCGAAGGACTCATGTACAAATGGCTTTTAGGAATGGTGGCTTCCTGGGGGTGGTATGCTGGATACACAGGTAAGAGCGATAGGAGAGCACTTTAATGCACTCGAACCAATTTGCAATGCTAACGCATAAGTCAGGAGCCATGATTGAATCTATATTGTGCTTTTGGTTGAGAATGCCTTGGCTATTAGGAAAGAAGTAGTCTTGTTGGCTTTTTCATCAAAACCTCAGCCAGGAAGCCTAACGTTTTATAATTAGCATAGAAGTATAATTTTATAATTAAATATTGTTGATAGATTCCTTAGTGTATTTTTAATGTGAGTGACATTGACTTATTAAAGTTGGTCCTTAAAAGCTATGCTAGAGGGGTAGGAATGCATTATACAGAACTTGAGGGCTTAGAAAGTGAAGATGTAAGATACTTAGTCCGTAAGCATTGGACACTCAGAAAAGCCATGCAGCCATATTTCTGTTCAGTTTAATAAGGTTTTTTCATGTAATGTAATACTGCACTGTGTAATGCTTTAAGCTAAGCTTTCCCCATTTCTGTTAAGTGTATGTTTCTTTTGTTTTCTAGAATTTACATTTTATCTCATAAATCTATTATTAAGATTTTTAAAATATGTCATGCTAATTTCCCCTGAGTGTCTTTAGGGGGGTTTCTTGTTTTGCTTTTAAACTTCATTTTGGGGAGGAGTAATGCTGTGCTGTAGTGGACTTTAATAGCACCAAGTGAGGTGTGGTACACGATTTCTTCAATAAGCTTCATGTATTTTGAGAACTTCCATTTCTGCCCAAATGTTGTATCCTTTATTATTTGTTTCATTGATTATTCCTTCTTTAGGATTACAAGAATGCAGGAAGGGTGAGGCTTCTAGCACTTGTGAGATGCAGAAAGTTTTATGATGGAAGCAGAACTGGTAGGCAGATTCCTCAGCAGCTATGCTGTAGTTCATAGCTAGGAAGAGTGGAGGGTGTTTTTTTAGGATCAGATGGCAAAAAACGGTTCTCCATTTTTAGATATGTCTCCCTCTTGCCTGCACTGCCTGCATCTGCAGATTTTATCCATACACACCAGAGATGGAGTGGCAGTACAGGGCCTGGCAGCCTCCTGCCTTGTGAGAGGATGTTTCTGTGGCCCTCGATGAAGGGTTTTTCCTTTCCCCCATTGCTGTCTGGTACTCTGTAAGCCCCTGGCATGGTACCCGCATTGCTTCTTGGTAATGAGCTGTTGAGATGCCAGTGCCTTTTGGATACTATGGGTCAGCTCCTTGTCCTTGTCAGTGCCTGGTAGCTATAGCAATGGCAGTGAGAACATGACATTCCTGCCTGTCATTCAGAGTCTCAACTGCCTCCCTTGCTTGGTGTCACTGGCTTTCCCAAGTATTGTATGTAATAGCTGGCTGGTAGCTCCACTGTGTGCACAGTATACTTGTGCTTGCTTGTTTAAAGTGAGCTTATAGGCTTTCAAAAGCAGCTTGTATTTTTTTCTACTTAAAAACAATGAAATAACTGAACTGCCTGTACTTACATGTGATACACATTTGTGTGTACCAGCCTGATGAAGTAAACTAGCCGTTGACCTTGAGACTGTGAGAGGGGAGCGCTGCTGCCTGGGACTGTCACCTGTGGCTAGGGCTCCCTGTGGTTATCCTTTTTTAGCTCTCTTTTTTTGGGGGGAGGTGTTGCTTGTTTTGTTTTTCTTGAGACAAGATTTTGCTTATATATCCTTGACCATCCCCAAACATGTCACCCATGCTGGCATTAAACTCAGATTAGAGCATTTCTCCACTGCAGCTTCCCAAGTGCTGGGAATACGGCTTGCCTCCAGTGTGTTTGCCTCCAGTGTGAAGCAAAGCTTTTGGGGCGTCTTCTTCTTACTAACTACCTATCTATGGGGCTCTTCTGCCCCCAGCTCAGTGGTCATGGCGTGGCCTCTGTGCTTTAGTCTCTTCCAAACATTTGCTCTTCTTCAGGCTACTGCATGTTGACAATTTGATGAGTTTTTCATCAGATTTTAGTTTCTTGTGAGCAAAATACTTGCTTTTGGAGAGTCTGGTCACAGCCTGATCATAACAGAACAGTTAAGAAGTCAAACAAAGTAGGAATTAAGTCTGCTGGAAGCCTGAGCGAGGTTTAAAGATGGTAACCTACAGAGGCGCTAACGAGCTCCTTTCTTTGCATTATGTGTCTCGTTTCTTCTCTTTCAATCAAGAGGACAGCAGGCATTTTATTTTTCTTTCACAGATGAAAAATTGAACAGTGTCAAAGGAATTGTGAGATCTGCTCAGTAGCTTGGTGTTAAAACACTTACCTAGCATCCACAAATTTCTGGCTCCAAAAACTAACAAATAGACCCCTTGTTAGTGTACAGGAAGATTTATTAAAGTCATATGAGGAGGCGAACATGGAAATGAGTCCTTCACACACATGGTTCTTGCCCTATAAGCCCATGGCTTTGTCTTTGCTTAGACCCTTCTTTTGTTGATATGCCTGCTTACCAACTCCTGTTGTCGCTGCATTGTTTGCTCTCTTGACTGTTATGATTGTAGTAGCAAGTAGAGTATGTTCATATTTTAGAATAAAAACTGCCAAATATTTATTGAAAATCCACTTAAAAGGAAGTTTCAAGTATCAGAAAACTGAAAACTGGATTTAAATGAGAGATTTCAAACTGGTAATTTAGTGTAAGACAAGGTTGCTCAGCTGAGGACTTAGGCTGATGATCTAACCTACATTACCCTAGATGGTAGCAACTAGCTGGATGTGAATTAGTAAAACAACGTGAAACTGATATTCAGTTTGCTTATACCTACAACACTTTAACTGTTGTTACTGGGTGGCTTAGGGGCTGCTGAACTCAAAAGTACAGATACAGATCAGGCCATCATCATAGAAAAGTCTACTGGACAGAGACAATAAGTAGTGCTTACTGCTTTTTTTCCTTTTCTTAGACAAATTGCATTTTATTTCTTATCAGGAAAGTATCTTTTTTTTTTTAATCTAATAGATTTCTGGGCTAGGGATCTAGCTTAGTTAGAATACTTGCAGTTTATATAAATAAATAAACAAGCCGGTCGGTGGTGGTGCATGCCTTTAATCCCAGGAGGGAGGCAGAGGCAGGCGGATTTCTGAGTTCGAGAGTTCGAGGCTAGCCTGGTCTACAGAGTGAGTTCCAGGACAGCCAGGGCTACACAGAGAAACCCTGTCTTGAAAAGCCAAAAAATAAATAAATAGATAAATAAATAAATAAATAAATAATAAGTAAATAAGTTCCTTTGGGATGTTCAGGAAGATTTATTAAATTTCTGTAAAGAGGCAAACAAAATGAGTCCCTCAGATGTACCTGTGGTTCTTGGATAAGGAGTAATAAGGCCATAAGCCCAAGACCCTCTTTTGTTATTGTTGATTGTGTTTTGAAAGAAGGTCTCATTATGCTCATACACAGCCCTGGAGCCTCAGACGCTTCCACTTCACAATGGATAGCTTTGAAATGTTTAATGCACTCGGACTATAATCAATGTGTCTGACTAACAGCCACTTTTCCAAAGTAAGGGAGTGAAAGGCAGACTGGCCTTGACCTCATGATGATACTCCAGCTTCAGCCTCTGATATTCTGGATTATAAGCATGAGCTACCATGCCCAGCTTCCCAGAATCTTGTTTTTAGTCTGTCTTCTCAGAGTTGAAGAACTACATGTAGACACAGAAGATAGAAAGGAGATTTTTCTGGTCCTTCTGCTTGTTTCTGACTTTGTCTTGTCAGATGAACACATTTCTTGAAAGGACTCTGAAGACAGTGGGATTTGTGCAGGCTCAGTTGGTACTAGGGAGAGGTGAGCATTGCTGCCACTAGCTCTTCAGTGGCAAATAATGTACAGACATTGCATACTGGGGACAAGTTATACTGCTTTGCCCTGATACTTCCAAGGCAGTCTGAAAAAGATATGAGTTTAGCCAGGGATCTACTTCTGCATGCATTACTTGGATCTGAGGTAAATTAGCCTATCTCTCCTCCATTTAAGTGGAGACTGGCACATTTTCAGAGATTATATTTAAAACAAAATGTACTTATTTAAAGTATTTTGCTTTGACTTTCATTCACTTATTTTGGTAAAGTCATTTTTACCCAAACATATTTAATTAAAGTTTCAGTATGTTAAGCCGTTTAAAGATAGTCATTGTAAATGGAAGCTCTAGAATTTCTATAGAAGTCTGGCTAGCAGGGGCTTGGGGGCTTGCTGCCAAGCTGGCTTTGCTTAGCCAATGCTGCTTTCCTTAGATTGGATATCTACCTTTGCTGGCTTTAGGGAAAGCTGATGCAGATTAGGTTTAGTTTTCTCCTGATCTCAGGCTTTGATGGAGATATATAGATATATTCATCTTTGTGGGTTATTTGACTATTTGGTAGTGTGCATCAGCAGATAGTGTGCCGAGCTACAGAGGGTGGTGGGGTTTTGTTGCTGTTACTTTTACTTTATTTTTTACCGTGAGTGCAGAAGCATCTGAGAAGCGTTATTCTGGAGAGAAGTACACTGCAGCTTGTTCTCGAGTCAGTGATCATAGTCCACTCACTGGTGGGTAAGGTGCTTGCCTGTGTCTTACCCACAGGCTCCCTGTAATTCTAGAGCCTGTTCCATTGTCTGATGTTCATAGGATGCTTAGTCAGTGTGCTTATATGTAGGTTTGTGATAGAGTCTCAGGTTCCAGGCTAACCTCATTCACTGTGTATGTGAGGATGCCTCTACCTTCCAGTTGCTGGGACTATAGATTTATGCCACTCCATAGGGGCTACGATGGTTATTATGTTTGTTTGCTTGTTTTTCTCAGGAGGTAGAAGCTAGGGATACATACATACTATTTGAAGCCCTCAACCCCTGAGTTACACCTCTAGTCCAGCAGCCTCTTTCTTTCTTTCTTTCTTTCTTTCTTTCTTTCTTTCTTTCTTTCTTTCTTTCTTTCTTTCTTTCTTTTGGTTTTTCTTTTTTTGGTTTTTTCGAGACAGGGTTTCACTGTGTAGCTCTGGCTGTCTTGAACTTACTCTGTAGACCAGGCTGGCCTCGAACTCAGAAATCCACCTGCCTCTGCCTCCCAAGTGCTGGGATTAAAGGCGTTCACCACCACTGCCCGACAAGCAGCCTCTTTCTTGAATGACCTCTTTCCTTTTTCTTCTTCTTTTTTTTTTAAGGAAAAAACTCTTTCACTGAATTCCTTCATGAAAGGAATGAAGGTGAAATGAAGGTAGCTACAGGCTATAACATATGAACCCTGAACCAGATCATATGAAATAAGCATTTGTTCATTTAATATGCGTGTTTGTTTTTAAACAGTGTTTTGCAATATAGCTTTGGCTGGCCAGGAACTGACTATGAAGATCCGTTTGCGTCTGCTTCCCAAGTGTTTGGAGATAAAGATGTGCCCCATCATGCCCAGCCCTCATTTAATGAGTAGGAGCAGGTGCCTGCAAGTATGGAGACACAAGAAGTAATTGACTTTAGGAACTCTGAGCAGCACTGGCAGAGAGAGAGAGAGTACCACAGAGGAACATACACTCAATGATGCTAAGGAGATGTGCTCCTGCCTGATAAATGGCTTCAGTAGCAGTGGGGGCGAGAGGGAGGTCACAGGTACACAGTCCTAGGGAAGGAGAGAGAAGCTTCAGTTTCTCTCCCTGGGGGCTTACCACCGCCCCACAGGAAAACGATTCTCTGTAGGATCTTTTCCCTAGTTCTATCATCAGCACTTAGAGTAGATTTAAAATACTTGAGTAACTTGTCAGTTTGAAATTTGTATCTTTGTGGCAACAATATTAGTCAACACTTACTTAGTGAAACAAAAGCTTGGTGGTTCTGAGCACTTCTGTTTTCATGAGTTTGTCTTACTTCACTTCCCTTTTGGCTCATGTCACACTTGGGGCAGTTGTGTCATCTGGTACTGTTAGGATCCCCTCTCCTTTTGTTATTGATGTGGAAATAGAAACAGAGCTTACAGTTACTTCCCCTTCAACATTGGCCGAATCGATGTTTGCCACAGTTTATTTTTGTATTCAAAGAGCCAGTATTGATCTCTAGATCATGTTCCTAGAGTGTTTCTTAGCATTACCTTCCTCTTTGCCCTTTGTTTCAGAGGTGTGAGCTCTCTGAAATAATTCTATCATCTGAAAGGAGTATCACAACTGGATTTCTATTAAGATGCTAAATATTGCTACTTTAATTTGTAATGTATTAGAAATTTATAAAATCCTACTTCCTCTATGTTTTATATTTTCATATATATAGAATTTAGGTCTTAACTGTGTTGCCTGTTCTGTTTGTTTGTTTGTTTGTTTTGGTTTGGAAGTTTTGTATTTTTGTTTCATTTCTTTATATCATATTCTTAGTTCTCTATTTAATAACCCTGGTCAAGAAAGGTGAAATTCTTTTTAATCCTTTTTCCCTATTTCCCATCTCCATCACTTGATTTTAGTAATTTTTGTGAATTTTTTTTAATGATACAGAGTCTCACTATATAGTTCAGGCTGTCCTAAAACTCACTATACCTTATCTATCTGTCTGTCTGTCTGTCTGTCTGTCTGTCTGTCTATCTATCTATCTATCTATCTATCCATCCATCCATCCTATCTAGATATCAGGCTAGTCTCAAACTCACAGAGATTCACCTGCCTCTGCCTTGCAAGTACTGGGATTAAAGTCATGCCCCACTATGGCTGGCTGATTTTATTCATTTGTATGCATAGTTGTATACAAATTTATGTTATTATGTGTGCTTATATTGAGTACTTTGATTTGTGAGCTATAAGGCTAATCCATTGGCTCTTAACTGATACATTTAGATATCCCTCTTGGGTTTTTCTCCTCACAATTTGTTATTTGCTTTTAGATAGTGTTATGGCCTGCAGTTTGTTCTATTTTATCTGTTTTTGTCTTTAACTCTTTACTTAAATTTATGTAATGGTCACCCAGATATCTGGCAGGAGTTTTCTTATAGCATTTCCAGAGCTTTGTGTTGCTTCCTGTGTAAAGGACCGCTCAGCAGGTTATAAAACCCCTGGCTCACACTTTGGTGTAGTAACTTACAATACTGTATAAATGCCTTCTGCCGTTTACTAGTACTGCAGAGATGTTAGACACTTACTTGAAATTTTCTCATTGTTAGTGATTGATCTTTTTGGTTTATATGTCCGATGAATTCTCTATTTTATTATGTAGTAACTTTACTAGGATATATTGCTGTAGTAATTGAATTCTCTTTTTCCTGTGTGATCTTTATAGATTTAAATATTTTGTTGTCATTGTTGAAATAGGGTCTTGTAGGCATATTGTTATTGTGCAGTGTGTAAAGATTATCCTTGTATTATTCAAATGCCGATTTCTTTGTCCCCATATCTCATTACAATCTGGACATGGCATTGTAATGCTGATTCTAAGAATCTTCCCTCTCAGTGTTGTGCCAACACTGCTCCCATTTATTCTCTAATTTGTCAATAAGAGCTGATCAGCCAATGAACTGAGCTGAAGAGAGAATAAGGCTAGACTTCCCATCCCATCCAAGGGAGTGGGGGGAGGGAAGGGGAAAGAGAGGGGAACACACCTGGACCAGAGAGAGCCAGATCAATACTAAAGTGCAAGTGTCTTGGGGATTTTGGCTGAGAGGTAGCCCGATTAGCTCAAAGGATTAGAATAGATTAATAGTTGCTCAGATATTGTATTGTAAAGATTGATCAAATAAATCGTATGGTCTCTGTCTCATTTAGTTGGGAGCTAGCTGGAATAAAGGAAAAACAATCACTTAATAAAATTGTATTAATATGTATGGTCTCACTGTGTAGACCAGACTGGCTTTGAGGTATGTCTGCCTCTGCCTCCCAAGTGCTGGGATTAAAGGCATGCACCACTGGGCCCAGCTAAATTCAAATATTTTATTTTAAATTTATATCTTTAAATGTTTGTTACAGTTCATTGTTTTGTTTTCTGCAAGTTCTCTTTGTATGTCTTCTATATTAATTATTTTCTATTTAATTATCTTTAAATTTTTAATTGTATTTGTGTGTACATACTTGTGTGTATACCATAGTGTATATGTGGAGGTCAGAAAAGAGCCTGAAGGAATTGATCCTCTCCCCTTACCACATGAGACCTGGGGGTTGAGCTCTGGTGGCCAGTCTTGGATGCTGTCTCTCAGTCCTTTTCCTCTAATTCTTTTGTTGTTTTTATTTGAGACAGAGTCACCTGTAACCCAGGCTGACTTTGAACTCTGTGGAGCTGAGAATAACCTTGAACTCCTGAACCTCTCAAATGCTGAGATATAGGTGTGTCACACATTACAGTCAGCTTCGTTTTTTCCAATTATCTCTATCTTTAATGTCTGGTAGTGTTTTGTTGTTGTTTGTTTTTGTTTGTTTGTTTGTTTGCAATATCGTTTCTTTGTGCTCCTTTATATTTCTTCCTTACTGCTATGATTTAAAGGTTTTCCATGTCTCCCTTGAATTCTGCCAGCCCACACTTCCTGTATTGCTGTAATCTGGACATTCTCCTTTGAGTCCTTCTTTTTGTTTTGTTAGTTTTTTGTTGTCTTATTCATAGGGTAAGTAGTTTCATTGATTCTTACAAATTCATGCAAGAATATGTAGTTAGAGTTTTATACTTTCTCCATCATAATCTCCTGATGGCTGTTCTCGGACACTCCCATTTTGTTTGTTGCTTAGTCCTACGCCGGGTCCTTTTTTTATTCCTTATAATGTAATTGCTTGGATTTTCTGCAGTTGCTATGACAGAAGGTTTGGATGAAGCCAGGTAGAGCTCTAGATTTCTTCCTCATGTTGCACATACAGCACCTGGATGTGTTTGTCTATTTTGCCATAAGGCTTGTTTCTTCCTAAGTCAGATTGAGTCTGGGAGGGGTTTTATGGGCAAATCTGGACTTCACGCTCCTTCCCTTACAGCTGTGGTTGGACTGACATAACCCTTGCAGAAGAGAGTCAAACCCCTTCCTCAGGACATGCATTGCCAGTGTTGATTGTCTGTCTCTCTCTCTTTCTCTCTCATACATTTTCTTTTTATCTTAGGTTCAGTGGTGTTTTGCCTGCCTGTACTATATGTTCGAGGGTGTCAGAAACCCTAGTAGAGTTACAGACAGGTGTGAGCTGCTGTGTGGATGTTAAGAATTGAACACAGGTCCCCTGAAAGAGCATCTAGTGCCCTTAGCTGCTGAACCATCTCTCCAGCTCAGTTTTCCCCCTTGCCATGTGGTATGATGCTATCTCTATACTTCATCCCAACATGGATATTCTCAGCCTTGTTTCTTTTTAGCCCTGCTCTCAGGTGCTTTGTAAGTTTTATATTTTTTGCAGTTTTTTTTCTGGGTTTACTAGAAAAAAAAGGAGTTTTGTGGTCCCTACTTCTCATTGCTTTGTGTGCTTCCTAAGGAGAGTTATACCAGAAAGTCTAACACAAAGATCCTTGTTCACCTGTGTGATAAAACCCAAACAGCCCTGCCATACTTGTACTAGACTGTAGTTGGTTGTTATAAAATGGTTACAAGATTTATTATCAAGTTAATTTTCTTCAAAGTCTGCCTAAAAGCAAGAAGTAGTCTCCAAAATTAGTGTGTGCGTGCGTGCGTGCGTGCGTGCGTGCGCGCGCGCGCGTGTGTGCGCACTCGCTTTCCTTTTCTGTGGTCCCTATCAGTTGGTCCTTGATTATCACCAGTTACACAGACTTTTCACTTGTTTCCTCTGGGCTCAGGTTCGGAGATGTCATCAGATGGAATGGAAGAGATGGCACCACAGGGGGGAGTGTGGTGAGATCCACGCTGACACTCTTAGGTCTGGTCTGTAAGCCACCTTGGAAGCTGCAAGGACACCACTATCCCCCAGCTTCTTGTGACTATCCCCAATCTAAAATTCAAGTTTATTGAGTACTTAGCTTTGTTTGTTTGTTTGTTTGTTTTGTTTTGTTTTTGTTTGAGACAGGGTTTCTGTGTTGTAGCCCTGGCTGTCCTGGAACTCTGTTCGAGGCTGGCCTTGAACTTAGAGGTCCACATGCCTCTGGCTTCCAAGCCATTGGATTTTGGCTAGGTTCACAGTATCAGGCATGGATTCCTTTCTAGGGCATAGGCCTCAAATCTAAGTAGAGAGTAGTTGTTTACCTTCATAGCAGTCATTCACAATCACACTTGAGGGCACATCCTGCCTGCTAGGTAGGTACTGCAGCACACAGGCTCTAGCACTGGGTAAGACCACTGATAGCTTTTTTCCCCCGGTAGCCTGCATAGCACTTGGTGGTGTGAAAACTCAGCAGTAGGAAAAAAGCCTTCAGTTCAGTTCCAGCTTAGCTTGATTTCTCTGTGCTCTGCAACCAAAGTGGGTGATGTCATCAGTAGTATGAACTCACCATCTCCAGTTAGAGTGGACATTGCCGCAGCCTATGTTATTTGGGGACCTCTGGGACCTCTCTGATACATTGGCAG